ATAATATCTATGATTTCTACTGGTGACAAAGACACAGGTACTGTTCATACAATTGCTACATTTTAGTTGAGGATAGCAAAACTAAAGGCATAACCTTTTTGTCATCAAAGTTCACAGATTCTCTCAATCCTAAGAATTTCTTCAGTTGGTCTGTGGATCCCAAGAGCAGCATTTTATTTATTAAAATCATTTTAATAAATAGCTTTTCATAAAGTGAGTGTTAGACTGGAACTCGTAGATGAATTCTCAGGGATCACTCTAGTTTTAAAAGAACTTTAATTTTGTGATAATGATAATTTATAAAATTAATGTTAGCATAATTTGGCTCAGTTAGATGACCTCTTAGAACTGAGTACTGCTACTCAGTGTCAACGGAAAAAAAGACCAAACTCTGTAAAATAATTTTAAAGAGATTTATCTGAGCCAAATTTGAGGACCATGACCCAGAGGCACGCCCAAGAGGCCTTGAGCAGTGGACTCGCTGTGGTTGGGTTACAGTTTGGTTTTATACATTTCAGGGAGACAGGGGTTACAGGTAAAGTCATAAATCAATACGTGGAAGGCATACATTGGTTTGGCCTGAAAAGGTGGGTCATCTCGAAGAGGTGGAGGGGGCTTACAGGTTATAGGTGGGTTTAAAGATTCTTTGGCTTGTAATTGGTTAAAGACATGAAGCTTTGTCTAAAGGCTTGGAATGTTTCAACATAAGAAGCTGTTTATCAGAGATAAGCCACCTGCAGGTTTGTCTTGCATACCCTTAGGCCTGCTAATGGGTTATAAAGGATGCCCCCAAGAAGGGAGGGGGCATGATAAGGTATGTCTGACCTCCTTCCTCCTAGCAGGCAACTTAGTTTTAGGATATTCCTTTGGTCACGAGGGGGTCCATTTAGTCACCCGGTGTTGGGAAGTGAGCCTTAAAATTTTATTTTAGTTCACATCAGTTTCAATGTGGTAACAAGTTATGACTCAGAATGACAGTATTTTATTTTTAATGCAGCAATTTTTAAGTGGGATTCCCCAGAGTTTTGTGAACATATGATTATTTTCCCCTTAAAATTAGTTATGATCACTCAAGGATGGGAAACCTGGCTTGAAGCCTCACCGAGTGGCAAATTAGAATTTGCGTTTAGACAAGTATTTTCAGTTAGTAACTGAATGGATTTAAAAATGCTATTACCAAGTTTCCATAACTGTTAGCTTTAGAATTCACTGTCATTCCATCTCTCACAAAAACTTTATATTATTGAGATAACCGTGAAACAGCCTAAATCTATCTTATTGTCGTCATTCTATTCCACACTGCCACCCTCATGCCTGGACCCCAACTAAAAAGTACAAACATAGTCCTCTTCTGAGGAGACAAACTTTGATTTTCTTTTCTGAAAAATTAAGCATGTTATTACTGTTTTATGAGTGTTTTTGTACATCATAACGTTACATCTATTCAAATAATAGTTTATTACTATTATTACTGTGACATTAAGCAAAAATGTATGCCAGTCTTTACTTTTACAAGTCTTTCATGAAATAATAATTACAGGTAAAAATGTGAGTTTTTAGATAAAGATGATTTATTATTTAAGTTTTTAACTAACTCCAGCCTCCTTTAGTAGGGATGTATTCTGACTTTTTTTCATTTTGAATAATATATTCATTGTTTTCATAAAGGCCATTGCTTTTTGTGGGTCCAACGGGTACAGGAAAATCAGTGTATGTGAAGGATAAGCTAATGAATCACTTGGAAAAGAACCAGTACTTTCCTTTCTATGTTAACTTCTCTGCGCGGACCAGTGCCAATCAGGTTCAGGTTAGTTTAAAGACAGAAACTTGGGTCTATAATTATTGATTTTTTGC